CTAAATTTGTTAATCTTCACTTTATATCTAATATAAAGTAATATATTATTTTTCAAAACATCAACAGGTCTGATGTGTGATGTAGGTCATTGTTTCAGTATGAAATAATTTTGACAAAATAATACAATTTGATTTTAAATCAAACATCTGGTCTCTCATTCAATACAAACTGATCCAAAAAAAAAAAAGATTATTAATATTGTAAACAATAATAATTCTCTTAAGAATAAGCAAACACATTTCACACCAATGTTTGCAACATCTTCTCCACCTTGCAAAAATACTTCTGATGGTAATCCCATGTCTCACTGAATTTTTAAGCCTTCACTCAAAATTAAGTCTGGTATCTAAGGTTTTTCAATAAATTACTAGAACTGTTTTATTTCTCTACTCTCCTATAAACAGTGCCCATTAAAAGGTCAAACAGTATGCTACTATTAGCTGGAGAGAGCCGACCGTTTTTTTCAAAGCGAACGAGTGTGTTGCTGAACACAACCCTGAGTGCATCTGCAAGAGTTAATTAATGAGGCAGATCTGATTTTGAGGCAGTCTGAAGGCCAGAGCACACGGAATCTGATTTTGTGTCCAATCCGACAGAAAATTGTGTCGGACGGTTGTGGCGTTTAGCACTCATTGAAAGTCAATTGTTTTTTTTCTTAGATTCTCATCTTCATTGGAAATATGCAGCTTCCACTACATTATTTTTGTCCTCATTACATTCCATACATTGGTGTGTCCATTATTTTTGATGTTAATAATTCAAACATCCTCTAAGGGGTGCAAATATTTGAGCTACTGGTATAACCTTATTATACAGCTTGGAGTTTAAGGTACAAATTTGTTCCACGGTCCAGACGAAGATTGTTTATCTAAATTTAAAAACAAATATGGTACTACATGCACAGCAGGAGAAAGATTAAAACATGAAATCACACAAGGTATCTTGTTGAGTGAGAACTTGAGGAGGGTAAATGGATTTTCTTTGTAAAGCTTTATAAAAAAAAATAAAAAATAACTACTGCCCCCAGTAGTTTGGCAGAGCAAATATTTTGTATTATGCATCTTTTTGAAACAAAATGCTGCCAGGGATGAGTCCCTTGACCATACAAAGAAACACAAATACGCTTTCATTGGAAAAAGGAAGATGCTGCTCAAACATAGCAGCTGACTGTGGTGCTGACACACATCACATTGGTTTAGGGGACAGAGATTATCCTTTTAAGATGTGCCGTATCTAAACTCCAAGCCTTAAAAAAAAAAAAGCAATCTAGAAACAAAAACAAAGAGGATTAAGGAAACATATTGATTTCTTGTTTGCATTCAGCCCTACAGGAGCTGGATTTTAAGCATACAGCAATAAATATAGTAAGTGGATGCTAAAACTGGCCCAGCATCTGTATAAGAAACAAATAAACTGGATAGAAAATGAAAAATTAACAGCTGAATGCTTGGGAACAAGGTCTGACAGTTACTGTCCGATTCACTGGAGGCGGTTACGAAATTTCAACCCCACAATTGTTTTATGGCCAAATCAATGAAAGCTCCAACTGAGAGCAGTGACATCTCCGGCCGGAGGAATGCAACAGCTATTTGAATGCGACTCAAGTGGGTCAACAACTGCTTCCTGTGAACTGTAGCACCAAAGAAGTGTGCAGACGTAGAACGGGTTTAGAGGGGGGTGCATTGGATGCTGGTGATGGTGGGATCCTCATTGCTTCCTCTGAATAGCAAAGATTAGCATTCCAATAGACGCCTCCATACCAACAGACACTTGCAAGGCAACGGCCCCCAGAAACACTGAAACATTGTCAGGAATGTGAAGTGCCTCGTCATGTGAACGTTTGAGCATTTTTCTTTGATAGAGTGAAACACATAACAACAAAATAAAATAAAGCCTTCTACTCCTCTCAATTTCAGATTAATTCCTACTATATCCCATGTAGGGTTGTTAAAATAATTGAATCCCTGAAATCATTTATTCAAAATACAGAATGACCAATTCACAAACGTCTGCACGACCTCAGTAACAGCTGATTCCTTCTGCTCCCAGCGGCTTCAGCAGACCATATTTATACCGAAAGATGAAAGGTTTAAAAACATGTCGAATAAAGCCATGACAAACTAGTCTGATAAACCAGACCAAATGTGAGATTAAATGTGTAAGTTAGTCTGGCCCTGATCTGAAGATTGTTGATTAGAACAAACCGTTGTCTTTCAAACCATGTCTGTGCCTATTGGCCAACGCTCTGACCAATAAGCGCAACTGACGTAGGAAGCACGGCAGAAAGTTAGCAGGGGAGTGTAAACAAACAGCCTGTCGGTAAAAGGCAATATGTCCTTCTTAAAAACGAATGAGTGTAGAGCCTCTTCCTGCTCACGTTTCAACAAATACCCAAAGTGTAATCCTTCCAAAGCTGAATCAAACGAGAACTGTTCAATAGTTTTTGCCATCTTCCTTGTTGTTCTTTCTCCAGCGTCATGCAGATTTGTCGCCACTCCCTCAAAACACCGCCTGCTTTGCATCTATAAATTCAAAACATCTCTGTGTTGTGATTGGCCAGCCAGGTCTAGGGCCTGGGGCATTGATCAAGGCTAGACCAAACTCGCAGGCAAAAATGATTTTGGCCGCTGGAGGGGTGGGGCTAGTTTACTAGGCTAAAGACAAACAACGTAACCATTTTATGTGCAAGAAAAAAAGCATTGTTTGGAAAGACTTGTCCTATCTGGTAGATGGACAAGAAAAAAGGAAATACTTAGGGGCGCCACATGCTAAGCATGAAATAAGTTAATTAACCTTCAGTTTTACCCAAAATTGACTGTTCCAGATTGCATAAGCTAATGGTAGCTGTCCTAAGTTTGAAAGACAGACAGCCCATAAACAATTTTCTGTCAGTTTGCTTCCAGTACCGCATTTTTCCAGCTTTTTATTTTTATTCCAGCTTTTTATTGCCATTACACTGTCAATAGTACAGAGAAATGAAATAAACTCTCTGCATTTAACCCATCCCCTTGGGGAGCAGTGAGCTGACATTGTGTGGTGCCCGGGGAGTAGTGTGGGGTTAAGGGTCTTTGCTCAGGGACCCAGAGTGGCAGTATGTGGGGGTGGGGCTCAAACTCAGCACCTCAGGATTCCAAGCTCTGTTATGTTGATAACAAAAAAGTTCTGTTGATACCCTGCTGCTGTAGTTAATTACTGAATCAGAAAATGATCAGGAAGATAAGATGTACAGGGCTGATGCCATGTAGATTTGCATTGAACAGATCCTTAGTGGCACTGTTAGGTTTAATTGGTATGTGCCAGAACCATGTTTGTTGTATGGAGAGAATGATTCTTTATATGTCTCCCAGTAGTAAATGTATTATTACAATTAGCAAATCGATAGACAAATGGAGGAATGTAGTTGTACACAAAATATAAGCAAATATGACAAATAATAAATAAATAAATGAGGTACATAGTTCCCTACATGAGTTAGGGAATGACCTTAAATGGTTTCTAAATAAACAGCGCTAAATTAATTGTACGTGCAAAAGTTAATATCAAATATGAAGACATGCAAACTAGTGTTTCCTCTTCACTTAAAAGAGCAGAGCGTGTGTTCTGCTGTCAGTTCTACTTGGTCTTAGAGTTGGTAGTAATAATGATAAAAGTTATTTTAAAAATAATCATGTAACTAAATAATTTTTAAACAGCAACTCACATCGATAGCCTCTTAGTGCTATGAATAGAAGAAATAAATTGATTAAAATAACTAAAGTTAAACATAAATAAATGAAATTTCATAAAACAACAAAGTTGTCTTTGTCTGTTGATGGCCTGCCTTGCTATGGTCACTCCTGTCTGTATTAACACCAAAAATCACAATTCCAACAATCAGGAAACCTGCAGGAAGGCATTAAGAGTTGCTACTTTTTAGCTTCTGTTTAAGAGACCAGGAAACAAAGGTAAATGAACAAGGGCAAACTGCTGATGTTGCTAACCTTACATCCACATTAACACAAACATGTAATATTCTTGTGTAAAGCCTTATAAAAAGAGGTGTTTGAAAGTGAATTTGAAGTATATCTGAAGTATTTAGTTTATTTTTCTCCTTAAAATGATTAAACAAGAATTTAAAGTAAACTTCAGAGGGACCGTGTCATCAAATTCCAGGTTAAGACTTCTTTAATTTATACATTTTTCTAAAGGACGGCTGAGTGTATAGAACGGCAAAATTAACAGCACTAAAAGCAAAAATCCTTTTTTAAATTTCTGTCCACTGCTTCCCCCTTTGTTACAACACAGTGGTGCAGCACTGGACTTTGAGCAACTCGGGTTGTATCAGTAAGATGTCAACAGTAAACCCCACGTTACTTGGCGACAGTGAGGGATCCATAGATTTTAGTTTCTGGCCTCAGGAGAGCTCCGGAAACATCAACCACCCATTGATTCCTTCACAAGAGGTAAATAAACTAATTTCCCATGTCCTAAAATAAACTGAATCCTTAATCAATAAATCACCTTACCTAACAAAGAATAGTTCGTCCTTTGAATAAATAATATCAACTGTTCATAGAGTTTAAGAGCTAACAATAAGTTAATATTCTGCTGAATGTTTTCTTTGTACATACAAATGTCTCTAAGATGATCATAAGCGCTTGTGTTTAGAAAAACACAAGGTTCAAATCAGAAGCAACTGCAGATTTGATTAGACAAGTTTAAGGAGGTGGGCTTATAGCATGCTAGCAAAAATGCTCAACATAGAAGATATTCGTATTAGCTGTGTTTAATCTTCAAGAAATAAAGACCAAAAACAGATCATTTTGTTCTTCTATTGATATTGATGCATGAAAAAGACTGCTGATACGTGCTGGCCGATGTATCGATCTATCTCTACATAAACATGGGTCTGTACGCACTTAGCAGGGGTGACAATTTATGAGCCATTATGAGAGGCAAACGCTGTGGTTTCCATCTAAGATAGTGTCAGCTATATCTCAGTAAAGGCACAATAACTTACAGTTCATCTCGTTGCCGTTGTGACAGCACCATGGTGGCGGGGAAGGGGGAGGGAGTTAGGACGGGGCCTGGTGGGGGACCAGCAGGTCAAAAGTGAGTCTCCTGCAGACTTTGGGATCCTCGGGCGAAAGATGAGCTGTGCTGAGCCAGGTGTTATGACAGAGGATGACCGCTTTATCCAGGTATAGGCCGTTGATTCTTTCCCAAAGAGACTCAGATTATGAGGAGGGGAATGCAGGACTCTGCTCCCCCCCTCCAACTTGAATTTCTCCAGAGATGAGAAAAGTGGAGAGTGTGGAGATCCGTCACCACTCAAATTTGCTGCATCTGGAGAGGACAGGGAATGAAAAATCAGCATTAGATATGCATGAAAAAAAAAAAAAACATGAAGTGTATGAGGAACAATCATGTTTTAGGTCCAAAGTTGATGTCAGAGGTGGGCACCATTAAAAAAAAAATAAAAATTCAGAGTATTTATAAAACAAATCAACAGTCAGTGCTTCTTCTTATCTACCCTCCTAACTTGCCCTACCATTATCCTTCTCTTACAACCACAGCCTCTCTCCAAATACATACCAGCAGTGACCTACATTTTTTTAAAGAGATATACTTGTCACCACAGGTTAGCTTCAGTAAAAAAGAGCGAAAACCAGTACAGAGCTACAGAGGATACAGTAACACTTATGCTGTTGGCTAAATCTCCTGACCTTAAAAATCCCAATATCACATAATCAGAACAGCCGCCTGACTGGGTGACAAAAGGACTTTGTCAAATTTGGTGCAACATCCTCATTGTAAGCAATACCCTCTACCATTTGTGGTCATTTCAATAGTGCCCAGTCAGTTAGACAGTTAGCAGGATTTAAGTTGACCTGAACAAACAGCTTTCTCTAAAGACTCATTAGAAATTTACCTTAATTGGAGATATAAGTACATTTGAACTATCTGGACATATGTTTTAAATACACCGTAAAGGTAACAATGAAATTATTAATGAGATCTGGAAGAAACACCTGCAGCTAACAACAATGCAAGCACACACCTGCATATGAGGACAACCTAGAGAACATTCAAATCACCATGTAGGAAAAAAAATGCTTTGAGATGTCGGATTCCAGCTGAGGACAATGTCCAGATGTACAACTGTACACTTTAAAGTCCAAAAAGAAATTCATAAAACTGTTATTATCAGTAATGAAGGCTGACTTATTAAAAGCCTGTAGATATGGAGTATGTGTCTATCCAGGAAATCCTGCCGACATTTCAAACTGGAAGATGGTGGGTCAAACATCTGGATGAACTAATGACAAAAAACCATTTGTTTGTCAAATATACACAATAAGGCCACCTACAAAAAAAAAAGAAAAAAGCCTGGTATAACAGTTGCCCTCCTAACAGCTGTCCAAATGGGTTTTCTGGAAGCTGGTTAAATATAACAGCAGTGAATGAGCAGAAATAAAGAGAATACGGTATTGCTATACATTCCAAGCAACCATCACTGATGTTCTCATGGATAATTGTGATAAGTGCCATTAGCTGTTGCTCTAAAATTTAAAATGTTTTTTTACAATGACATTAAGCTAATTGGCTTTGGACAAGTATTGAGTTTTCAGGGAGACAAGCCTGAGCTGCAGAGACAGAGCAGTAAATCTGTCCATTGATGGTTAATAACCCAAATGAATCTTCTTCTATTGATTTTTTTGTAGCAGCGGGAACCAAACAATGAGAATCTTTCACAGGGATGATGCTGCTTTAGTAAGATGCAATTTGCTGATCCATCCCTGGAGGTTATCTGTTGTTAAAGCTCTGGTTTAAATGGTGGGAAACTGCCCTCTGTTTCTTTAGGGCGAGGGATAAAACATGGTTCCAAAATGTGATAGGCAACACCCTGCTCCTATTATCTGTGCAAAAGTTCTCTTTTTACTAAGTCAAAACCTGAAAAAACAACATATGATCTGCTCAAGTTATAGAAATCAGAAGTGAATTATAGAACTGAATGCAAACAAGTAAAAAAAAAAAGTGATATGAGAGGAAAAAGTGTCAAAAAAAATTATGAAGAAATGTTCACAAAAGTAAAATTTCCACATCACATTTAATTTAAATGTGTCACTATTACAGATGATTTCTATATCCAAACTAAACAAGTAATTGGTCAATGTGTAGATTATTAAATTGTAAAATAAAAATGCCTTTTGCTGTAGGCAAAATATCAGAAAAGAGTTACTTTATTGTGTATTGTTTTTTGTTTTTTACAACAAATGCTTTCATGTCTGGGGAACAAAGACCACGCCCCTAAAGACAGCAGAAAAGACAACCAAGCCTGGAGTCAAACTAGCTGCCTGAGAGAAACTGCCTCCTAACATCTTATCACAAACACATAGCGCTGCAAGGCTGACAGTTACGACCCCGATGTCACCTCTGACTCACATTCTGTCTCCTGCTGCTACTACGTCATCCTCAGTCTAAAAACGAGCGGCTAAACAGCAGGAATCTGGCAGACCCTCATTCTCTGCGGCTGACTTATCTGATGGGAACAGTCCATACCTGTTCTAACCAACAAAGCCGCCACAAGAACCAAAACTACAGATATACTGAAAATACAACCAGAGTTTTTTTTTCTCCAAACATTAAAGAACTGTTTCATTTCATATCATTCCAAGACTGCATTCAAATTAGGCATGCGAGGTGTATTAGCCGATGTCACTTCAGTGAAGGTGTGGCCATTTTTTTGGAGCAGCCATTAGCTGTTCTCCATCTGGTAATGTGATGGAAAAATGGGTTTTAGGGTTTCCAAGAGAATACCGGTAGTACTTGTATGGCTGTACTTTGCCAAGCGTTAATGTCTGGGGGCTGCTGGTTTTGTTTACTGTTAGTAGCTGGACCTGGTCCTTTAATTGAGGTGATCTGGAACCACTGGAGATGATTTCACAAAGAAGAATCCTTCATAAAGTAAAGAACCTTCCTGCCAAGAGCTATCAACACCTACAAAAAGCCAGGAAAAAAGGAACAAGAAAAAAAAACAAAAACCCTATGAGTTACCGGAACATTTAATTTCCCTTTGGGGTGAATAAGTATTTTTGAATTGAGAAGGAACTCTAAAATCATTAGCATACCAAAAGATTTTTGCAAATTTCTGTCCTCCACATGCTGTAACGTTCTGACCTCTTCATCTTCTAACATCACTGTGCACACCTGCACAAAGCAGGGTCCTTAAAGACAAAGATGAGAGAGCTTGTTGTAGATGAGCTGGACTCAAGCCAACAGAACATCTTTGGGACGAATTAGAGCATCTAACATCAGTTTCTGACCTTATAAATGTGCTTCTCTAAGAATGGTAAAAGGATATCCAAAAACATGCTCCTAAGCCTTGTGGACAGCCTCTAAGTTGTTATAACTGCAAATGGTGGACAACACCATGTTGAACCGCATGGATTAGGAAAGGATATATCTTAAATTCAAATAGTTATCAAGCAAAGATGAAAATTATTTTGTTAATACGGTGTTTTTAGATTTAAATCTGCTGCTGACACTTTCCAACTATTCAGCTACCATATTGTTATGACACAACATGAGCCTATTATACAGGTGTTGGAAAAATAAATAAAAGTCTATCTTGAATTAATTATATATGGCAAATAGTCCATTAAACATAAAACTTCTGCAACTTTATCATCCATTAGGTCTAGAAATCTCCCTAAGAAACAACAGCTTATTTAATGTCCATAACTGGAGCTAAAAGGCAACATGTTTATCCATCTCTGGCATAACTGAATATTTCTGAATCATTAAATTTATAGCAACAAACTCCTAGCATTACTGAATCTAGAATAGAGGGGTTTCTAAATATAGTACTCAAAGTTAGCCTTAAACCCAAACGGAGAAGTCATCAAATAAAACCTTATAATTTTCCGAGCACAATCTCATTAGACTGTTAGACCTAAAAACAGTTTCTCTGACAAGTGTCAACAAGCCTGTCAAAGCCATTAGCCGTCGAGTTAAGACTAATGGCATGTTCCAGCAGCGTTTCAAAGCAGTCATTTGAGGTTGACTTACACTCTATCCTGGCAACAAGACAGCAATTAATCACTTTCTTTGTACAAAGACTTTGCCATAATCCTGACAAAAATATCAGTGAAAACACAGCTTATCAAAGTATTTTGAGATGACAAACCAAGTGTTCAAAGACTCTTCAGCACAAGATTGTTATGTTCTACAATCTTCAAAAAAATAAAACATATTTTGCTAAAATAGCACAGTTTCAGAAATTTGTTGAGAGTATACCGCTACAGCTACCCAAGTTGTCATGCTTCTAATGTTTAATATCTATACAGTTGGGAAACCTGTTGATGATGTATTTACAGTCATCACACTTAGGTTGGTCTGCAAATTTGAATGGCTGGGAGAGAGTCAGGGGAAACTTTTAAAATTAAGAAGAAACCCGAGAGCTACATACATTTGATCCATCCTTATCTAATCGAACAAAGCAACAGGGTGATGGTGTACAGTCGGACACACATGAAGACAGCTGTCATATCTGAGACTAGTATCACCAATCAACCAACAGCTTGTTCTATAAGAACATTTTATGAGATTAATAAGAAATAGTGCAAAGACTTATGCTTTGATGTAAAAACTGGGATTTTGTAATAGCTTCAACGCAATACCATATAAACCAAAGACCATTAGTTATTTAACATCTTTATTTTCAAAATATTACATTTCAAAACAGTTCAAATCGTTTTAAGCCTAATTTGACAGCACACATACAGGTGGATGGATGGGGAAGTAAAGTTTTATATTGTATGTATTTTACAGTAAAATAATGCCAATCTAAAGTTGCATATGCCATTCCTGCAGACAAAGCATTTGGCAGATCATAATCAAGCTGCCCATATTTCTGTTTGAGCCATCTCATATCAACTAAACACTAAGAAACAAATCCTCTTACCTGAAAGAGGAGCAAAGATCTGTGTTTATTTCTGATGCTGCTTTACAAAATCGATGTCCTTACAAGCCCTATAGCTCCCACAAATTAACTGCTAAATAATCACGTGGAGGAGAGTATAAAGCGCAGAGCACTGATAAAATTTTCACATTTCCAAAAGCAAAAATTCAGTCCAAATTTGACGACCATCTAAGCTCCTTATGGTAGTGGCAAAATATTGAATGCACACCCAGATAGAAAATAATAAAATATAAAACAGGCAGACACACGGTGCAGAGTATCCCTAGAAACCAATGTGCTCCACCCTGATTTTCTCAAAAGGGACCCGAAGAAATCTGGTGCTTTTTAGCTCAGCGTCATCAGGCAGTCTGACAGCCACCATCTGCTAAGGAAAAGCACCCAGGGGGTAATGTCAGGGTGACTGGTCAAGACTGATGTTTCATTACGGTCACATCTCCACCTGAGGGATCAGTGGAATGTCAATACACGCCCTTTACAGCAGCAAACACTGTGCTACAACAACCGTAGGAACATGCAGCACTCCCCAACGTTAAAACAATTAGTTTATACAGTGGGACACGACAGAAAACTGCTTACTAACCTCGACCATACGGTTTTAATCTATAAATATATCTATTTAAAAACGGTAACATTTTATGTTGTTTCTTATTTTTTGTTTGTTTATTTTTTGTAACCGGAATTAATTGCCAGCTGATAGCTTAGCCAAAGTTACCAACAGTAAAGTTAGCCTCCCGGCACAAAGTTAGCCGCCGCAGTGACTCTGCCTCCCAGAGACCAAAGCAACGGGCCTACGAGCTCGGTTAGCTTTAATATAGACGCATAACAAGAAACACTTTCAAACATTTAACAGAAAACCGAGTGTTTGTCTAAAAAACGGGACTAAAGTCCGACTGACAGGGTACCTGCTGCTCCAGTCAAAGCGGCCCGTCCGCCATTTTGAGGAATAAAAAGGAGGTGCAACAATTACAGCCACATCGTCATTTTCCCCACCTAACGCCACATTCCTTCAACTGTGGCCGCCGCTATGGACGGGAAATAAGACTCACCCTTTTGTCCCCCTCTTAATTTATATCCTCAACCGTCTCCGACGTTAATACAACCCGACAGGGCGCGAGGTTTCCTGATCCAAAAACGTGATCTTGTGATGTGGAGGTAAACTGTGGACCGTCTTGTCTCCTCAGCTTCTGCTCGCTTGTTTTTCTTTTTTTTTTTTCGGAGCTACCGCAGTCGCCTTGGCAAAGGAGCGCGCAGGCAAGCCGCGTTCACTGAGCGACGGGAGCGCGCACGCCCTTGACAACACAAAATCTGTTTATTTATTTTTATATATATGGAATTAACCCCTTAATTGCTGTTAAAAAATAAAATACCGGATAAGAAGTTAATTTGTTAAAAAATAAACACGAAATATAGTTTACGACCAAGATGATGAAAAACTAAATTATCCATGTTTTTTTTTTATAAATATTTTATAAAATCTAATTTTAAAAAAAAGCTATGTAGCAGTTGACAAATCGGGAAAAAAATAACAGTACTAAAATTAAAATTAGCAATTTTTATTCAGTCTTAAAAGTATGCACTGAAAATAACACATAAGGGAAAATGCTTCTGTATAAAATACTTCTGTTCTTCAGTCCTTTGTTTGATCATTTAGATAATTTTATACAAATCCTGTTTGTTATATTTCCTTGTTAGAGTGTGACATACATTAAGGTTTGCATCATAGGGCTACTTCAATTAGTATATGAATGAGTTTTAAATAGATATTTATTGCTCTATCAACAAGTACTTTCCATTTAATCTTTAAATTTTCTTCTAATATAGGGCTAGTTGGCCTTTTCTAAACAAGATTCTTTTTAATGTTTCCCATTTCTTTACTAAGCAGTTTAACCCACCTTGCAAATTCTAAAGTTGCATATTAAACTAGATAATCTTATAAGGAAATACAAAGTTAATATGCAACGTATAAGTTTTCCAGATTTCCTGCCCTAGTGATTAACATCTGTATACTCAACTTTGAATAAATTTAAAATAGCATAGGTAAAACCCCAAAAAATTGAATAACCTAAGCTGTGAAGAATAGAGAATATAGCTATTAAAAAAACAGCTTAGGAGGGCTAATGAGTGTTAAGCTGTTTCATTTATACAAATATAGATTTCTTAGATTACTTTAGAGAAAAAGAACCAGGAAACTAAACTGTTTGGCCAGCATTGTTCAGTTCATATCCAGACTCCTTAGAAACACTGACCTCATTGGAACCATTTTAGCTGCTAGATAAAGTTCGTACACACACACACACACACACATATATATATATATATATATATATATACACACACACAAGATATATCTCCATATTTATAAGAAACCCCAAGCAAATATTTCACTAAATTTTTATTTATTATAAAAGTCAGACCAAAAAAAAAAAAAGAAAAAAAGATTAGTATGTAAAGAGCATCAAACCAATAAGACACACAGCCAGGTAGATTCAGCCACTACACATTCATAAAACTTTCCACACTTAAAGAAATTACCCAGAAAATGAAATGTAATGTTATTCTTCGATTTCAGATGAGGAAGAAGACTTTAGACATATTTGTCAAATAAACTTTCACTTAATTATGATTAAATCCCATCTATTTGTGATGTAATGATTTCTGCATGATTTTCTAGATAGCTGTTTTGAGTTAGATTTATGCAAAATTTGTTGTCAAAAGAAAGTGTGCTTGTTTGTGCATCTGCAGCACTTTATTTCTGTACTTCACTCAAAATAAGGGGTAAAAAAAAGGTGTAATGACGCCCCCTACTGGACACTGAGTTATTGTTGAGAAAGTATATAAACAAAGAAACTAAAAAAAAATCTGATTCAAGAAAAAAACAAAAAAAACAAACAAAAATAAGGAAATGTCAGCTTTATGTACTGATAAAGTCCGCCCATCTTAATCACAGTTCCATTCAGGAGCATAAATACGAGGCACGTACAGGCTCTGCAACTGATGGGACCAGTTTTAGGAGATGGGGTGAAATCATTGTGAAGGGTTTGAAGTTTACTGCAGTACAAGGTCCATTTTGCATGACTCGTGCCAGGCTAAAAACAAAAACGAAATTCCTACAAACAATCAAAAACTCCACCACCCTCTCTCTATTGCTTTAATCACACATCTAAACACACTGCAACAATTAAGTAAATTACAATGGATGGGAAACATTGCATGTATACAAATAGATCTCTTTCAATCTTTTTTTTTTCTTTTGCAACATCATACCTGCTTTTGCCCACTTTTGGTCATGCAGTTGCACAAAAAAGAAAAAAACAAAAAACAAATGTGAAATCTGGCTATTTTTTTTTTCAAATCTCTTGAAAGTCAGAACAAAGATTATAAAAAAACAAAGAAAAAACAAACAGCTCGACAGTGAGCGCTTGTGCAGTGGGAAGTAGAGAAACCAACCTCATACATAAGCAGATTTACAACATTGGTGGCCATGAATGTTTTAAGAAAATATGCGTCAGCGATTTAATGTGTGCAGAGGTATAAAACATTTGGAAAGCAACAGTCCTGCTCCCTGTCCCACACCAGGCTACACAAAGACACACACACACCGTCAAACACACATGCATGTATATTCCATCTGAATGTAAAAATAATAGATTGGACACAGCTAGTATATATATATTTATATATATCTGAATATATCTACGGTTTAAAGTGGACGTATTTGAGATCTGTACCTGCCTAAATTCAATCAAGATTTATACAGCTTTTTTCCTCTTTTCTATACATCTTCCATAAAATAGACATGGCTTTAATTTACTGATGATCACACATAAACAAACAAACAAATAACCCCACCAAATTAACTTAAATGAATCGGCTCAAAGCTTGCTGTGCTGACGGCTTGCTCGGCGCGAAACACGGCGGGCACCATCCAAGGACGACTGATCAGGGATGTATGAGGCTGAAGTCTGATTGCTACACGACTTAAAGAGGGTATAAAGGTGGGAGTTTACATTCTGAGGCCCCGATGGAAACAAATCGCTAGTTTACATCCATTATTCTAGTCTGTTAGTGCACAGTAGTAACAAGCCCTGAGTTCTTGGACAGGCTTGGTGCCGTTTCATTCGGAGCACCTTTGAGAAGTTAGGGGGTGTGTCTTATAAGAAGCATGACTGGGCATGGCGTCACAGCAGATAAGGCTCTGGTACATAATGTCATGGTCATTCTTGGTCTCTCTCTCGCCCTGCTGTAGGCATTTTTTTTTATCTGATTATTCTAAGCAGCCAAGACCTTCAGGGACTTCATCGAAATGTTCTCAAGTCCAGGGTTATTCTGATTGCACCTTTTACACTTAATCTGTCATTTCATTCGTTTCTCCCTCCCTCCCCTTCTCCCTCTCTCGCCTACTTTGTAGGGAACTCCTTTTTTTATGTTTGGCTTTCTGTACATTATTTTTCTTTCCCCTTCCCAAGTCTTCTCTGACCGCACCCTCACCACGTTTATTTCAAAGCTGATTTACTTAGTTTTCTGGTCTACAGGCTCCATTACTTGGCTGTTTCTTCACAGCTTCTCTCTCTCTTTCTCCTTCAAGTAGAAAGCATCTGTGTCTGGGGCTATTGAATGTTAATCAACTGGGATTTTGTCCTCCAGTTCAAGTGGGCCATCCTCAGCGGGCTCCTCGCTCTTTCCCAGCTCCTGCAGCTGCTGCCGCCTCTGCACCTCTGCCTTTAGGTTCTCCAGATCCTTCTGACTGCAAAGGAAAAAAAATAAAGCAAGGTTTATTTAATTTCTATCACCTCACAACTTAGATTTTGATAACTCTCCTTAAAGTTTTTTTTTTTTTTTTTTTTTTTAAATCATCTTTGTAATTTCTAATGAGATAAATTATATAGATGATGCATCATTTCATTTCTTTATGTACTCATTCTTTATCAGATTAATAGCATAAGTTGTCAAAGATCCTCAATCAGAATACTACAAGAGATATTTATCTCCAATATCTATAGTTTTAAACCAATTTTTGATGTCAGACACTTCGGTTTCTATACTATAATGTCTCTAAAACAGCTAGATGTCGCAATAATGTCTGTTAGGGCTAAATATTAGCACACTTAAAGAACCGAAATAATTAAAGGAATAGTACACCCAAAAATATGATTAGCCTTCATT